ATGTAGTGTTTTGAGTGTGGGGGGGGGGGGGGGGGGTGGAAATAAACGGCGAGTAAACGTTGAGGCAATTAGGATGTTTCAGTGAAGTCACTCAACAAAGTGTGCGCTAAGTGATATCCTTCTCCATTTAAGAAAATTAAGCCCGACAAGACGAGGATAAAATCTATGTGACGCAATCGTGCCACATCAGGCTGATCTACAATTTTTGCATTCGGCACAACGATCCGCGACCAGCCAGCTAGAAAGTGTAACCGTTTTCCGTATGTTTTCTATCTCACCATCATTGTGTGGTGGTAACGGTGCTGGAGTTCACGTCGCAACGCTTTGTCCGACTTTGCTGTCTATTATCTTCCCTTCCCCCTCCTCGTCCCGCCCACATATCGCCATACCCATCTTTCCCCGCCCCTTTCACCGACCGAACCCAATTTTTTTCTTCACCGGGCTTCTAACGAGTTACACTTCACCGCGAGATTAATTGCCCTCTGTGCTCAAAGATTTAGTGATTTGAGAGCGCGTGCACGCGCATCGTCACGTAATAGAGCGTTTCTTCATGCATGCGCGAGCCCAGCGTTTCTTTTATTCTTTAATTTGCTGACTGGCACTGGGAGGCTCGGATGCACGGCTGAACGCTTTTTTACTTTACTTAATGTCCGCTTTCATTGTTACTTAAGTTCATGCATAACGAGCATCGAATCGTTAACGACGAGCTTATCATTAGCCTTCTTATTAGACGTATGTGCTCGATAATGGGCTGCTGGAAGGTGGCGATGAAGTACCGGTGACTTTTACCGTGTAATCTCTAGGTAGGTTATTGTGGCTCAACTATATTTATGATTCGATACACAGGCATGTAATTGCCATACGATGACAGGGTATGGCAATTACATTTTCATTTTCAAGTCAAATTTAATATACATTGTGCACAATACATTGTATACATTAAAGAAAGAAAAAAGAAAGAAGAAGAAGAAGAAGAAGAAGAAAAATACATAGACCTTAGTTTATAGCTAGGATTGTCCCTAATATCAATGTGGTCAATTTTCCCAAATCAATGATTATTTCAAGGAAAATTCGATTATTCCTAAATTACAGATTGAAATTTTTTTTCGATGCAACAAGCTCCAGTGAAAAAGTCCCGAAAAAAAAAAAAAAGACCTACATTCTAAGACGTAATTTTTAACATACGGTATTATCGAAGAATAAGAAATTATTCCGCAATAATAAGAAAAGTGCATATATAATTAACGACACAATATATATGGACGGGAAATTGATGTTTTAAAAGCTTCGTGAATGGAGTAGCGTTTATAACAGATTCGCTCGCTACGTTTTTATTTAAGACAAAAATATCCTTTCATATGTGGAAATAATAAGTTAATATTTTGATAATTTGAATGAACTTATTGATTATTCGTAGATTATTTCAACATTGCAGTTACAAAGTCATTTTAAACTCTATATTATATTTCAAATAATGATAAATTTACGGG